AATGAAATGGTCATCACTCCCTGGACAATTAACTGTTATTATATGATATTTATATAGCGCACATATCCACGCAACTAGTGCTTGCTCAAGGCGCTGGTATTTTTTTCCCTCGATCATTGGATGTCAGTCTCAACGGCACATCGTGTTATCAATCTCAACTCCCTGGGGATCATACAACTCTTGCAGCCACTAGGCGCACCAAGTTATTGTGGCCTTCTCATCCTAACGAGGTACCCATTCACAGCTGGGTGGACTGGGACACATAGTCACAGTACTTTGTCCAAGTTCACTGCCCGTTGCTGTACCCGCAACTTGGTGTTTGCACGTATTCATGTGACCACCATCTGGACATATACCAACGGATTCGTGGGTTCTTTTAAGTGCACAGGGATGTGTACTGTACACTAGGGGTTGTGACAACACTGAAAGAGTCTGCACAAAGTTGACTCCGAGGTTTTTACACCCGGTCACAGGTGGGCTCGATCCCGACACCTCAAGCTCGCTGGATCACTAGCCTGGCACCTTAGCCAGCTCGCCCACCGCGTCCCACCTGGACGATGAACATTAAGATTAACATCTACAGTGAAAAGTTTATCCCTCGATATATACCATGAACTTGTCAACATATTAAAATACAATGATTTCTAGTAATTCTACATCCACGTCACAAGGCAATTCAAGCATGAAGGGCAAGCAGTGCTCTATCTACAGACACAGAAGCTCTGGATACAACAAATGGAGATCAACTACAATTTGCTTCTCCACAAACTAGTCATCCAAGCTAACTGTTTTTCATGAACTTTTTCATGTCTTCACAAAACATCATTGCTCACTGCTCTTAAAGCTTGTGTTACTGCAAAGCTCCACTAAATTACAGGTCTGCTTCCCAAGGCATGGGGATGAAAGATCTGGCAATCCTTCCTTTGTGATAGCAACAGATGACTGATGCTGGACACGAGGAGAGCCGTGAGGCGTGACATGGTTAGCTTTACCTAACGCTGTCTCACGTGGTTATACATTGTAGTTTTGTATGAGGTGAGCCAGTTGACTCTTCACCCTGTCAGGAATCAGAGCCACATTTTTATTAAAGGTGTATTACTGTTTTGTGTGGATGTATTGAAGTAAATAGTTATTTACACAGCTGAAATTCAGCCTCTCTTAAGACTGACTCTCTCTTCCTATCTCTCTGAGAATGTGTGTGTGTGTCTCTCTCTCTTTCTCTCTCTCTCTGAGAATGTGTGTGGCTCTCTTTCACTCTCTTGGAGTATGCATGTGTCTCTTTCTCTTTCTGTCTCTCGGTGTGTGTGTGTCTCTCTCTCTGTCTGTGCGTGTGCCTCTGTCTCTCTTTCTCTCACTTTCTTGGAGTATGTGTGTGTGTTTCTCTCTCTGTGTCTGTCTGTGCATGTGTCTCTGTGTCTCTCTCTCTCTGAGTGTGTGTGTGTGTCTCTCTCTCTCTCTCTCTCTGTGTGAGTGCCTCTGTCTCTGTCTTTCTCTCACTCTCTCTTGGAGTATGTGTGTGCCTCTCTTTCTCTCGGTGTGTGTGTGTGTCTCTCTGTCTCTGTGTGTGTCTGTGTGTGCATGTGTCTCTGTCTCTCTCTGAGTGTGTGTGTGTGTCTGTGTGTGTCTACATATACGTGTCTAAGTGTCTCTGTGTGTATATATGTAGCAGAATGTAAATATTGTGTATTTTAAACCTAGGATATAATTTAGTTAAGCAATATAACAACCCTTTGAATTAACACAGCACTCTACTAATCCCTTGGTTAAGTTATGTAAGCCTGCATTGGGTTCTATTTTACTTCAGACTCCTGGTCCAGCCATGGCTTGGCCAGTGATTGATTTGCTATTGTTTCTAGAGCATGTGACCAGATCTGGAGTTTTATGTACCCCAACATTCTTTTTCCTGGTCACTGCTACAATTTCAACTCTTGACTGCAACAATTCCAACTCTGTCTCCTTTATCACAGCACTGAACTTATTGGGGTAAGTTACTTTATGTCTTGGTATTTATATTATCATAAGGAGGTTAGGATATGATGTTTTAGTCTAGTTAATTTATCATTTTAATCATATGTCTGAAATATATTATGTGCTGTAATATCATCTACATGATGATATGATGTAAATATTCTATATGCTTAATATCATGACACACTGTTATGTATTATAATTAATGTAGACTATAGTGTACACATTGTAGATTAGGTACATATTATGGATGACATGAGAAAGAGTGTGCGTGTGCATGTGTGTGTGTGTGTGTGTGTAATATAGATTGTATTTAATTGTGTTATTTTATTATATTAGGTCTTTGAAGTACTCATTTGCCACCGGTTGTTTACCGGTAGACTGTGGATTACCTGCGTCCCTGAGACGAGGTTAGTATTTGTGTGTCAAGGAAATGCATGGGTTATGTTCTAAATGTTATGTTACATATCAGATTTTCATCTGTATGTCTGTAATTTGTAAGATAAGCTTATATTTATACTCAAGTTGAGTAACCCTTGTGGTGTGCAGAAAATATTAAATGTAATTATATGTTTACTATGTACATGTTGCTGTATACCAGTAATTTGAGATGTTTATGTTTTATTTCAAGGGTTTTATCACCTGATCCAAGACAATAAATCCCTGAACCCTCACAAGTATTCGTCTGTTCTCAAATCATGACGTGATACCGCTGTTACATATACAGACCATGACAGCAATGTATCTATATTTTAATGTGTGTGTGATTTCAAGTGTGTGTGCGAGTGTGTCTATCCAAAGAAGTGTTTGTACCTGTCTTTCTCTCTATATATACAGTACAACCAGAAATTATTGAAAACTTAAAGATTTAAATTTTTTTAATTGTATCACTCATTACTCACATATTAAATGTGAATATTAGCAGAACATAACTCCAGATTCAAAGACAGGTGAACAGTTAGTATTTTGTCAAGTCACCATGGGCAGCAATGCAGGCTTCAATGCGGCGGGGCATACTACTGATCAAAGAAGTTAGAAAGTCGTGGTCCATGCTGTCCCAATATCGGACCACCTCTTCTTTCATTTCACCAATATTTGTCGGATTTTTCTTATTGACACTTTCCTTCATAAGTCCCCAAACATTTTCTATAGGATTTAGGTCAGGGCTATAGCTTGGCCAATCTAATAATGTCATATTTTGGGTCCGAAACCAGGCCTGTGAATGCTGTGAATGATGTTTTGGGTGCGTTATCCTGCTTAAATCCAAACATTTCCATAGAACACGTGAGTAGATGGAAGTAAATGTCCCTCGAGAATATCTGTGTACCGCTCACTGTTCATATTCCCTTCAAATACACAGAGGGGTGTTGCCCCTAACACAGATATGCCACCCCACAAGTTAAATTACGGACTGTACTTTGGGCTGATACAAAGGTTTTTCAGTTTGTTTGGTTCAGAATTTCAGTGTATTAGGAAACAGCCACACAGAACTTTCATCTGAGAAAACACATTGTCCCAGTTAAAATTTCTATGCTGTAAGCACCAGTTCAACCTTCGCTCCTTTTGTTCAGGTTTCATGATCGGTGATGGAATTCCTCGACTTTTCTGCCAACCCATTGCATGCAGCTCAGTTCTAATTGTCCCCTTACAGACAGCTACAGTTCCTCTATCAGTCATATCCAGCCTTAAGTTTTCTAAACTCCTTCGTTTGTTTTTAGAAACAAGAATACCAAGCCGCCTCCTGTCACCGACAGTCAATTTTCTGGGCCTACCTGCGCCTCCCTGGTGCTCAATGCCATATCCATTTGCAATTATTTCAAAACACGATAAACAGTGGACAAAGGGATGCCTGTTCTACTTGAAATCACTTTAGCTGATCTGATGTCCTTGTTATAATACTCTAAAATCAATTTCCTCTTCTCTAAATCATCCATACTGAGGATCACTGAAAATGTCGTCAGCAAGTAAACAAAGGGGGATAACTCTTCACAAACTAATGAAAAAGGATTAACAGAGTTGTCTCTCTTGAATGAAACCAAGCACTTGATAGCTGGCCAAGGTTGTTTATACTAGAAATCCAATTATACATATTCCTAAAATTCTCAATAATTTCTGGTCATACTATATATACCCATGTAGGAACAGGTGGGACCGGGAAGAGGGGGTGCAGGCAGCAATGTCGGATGGAGCTATTTTGTTGGGTAATATGACATGGACCATGTACACTCAATCCATTAGCTGCCACTTTCAGTCAGGTTACTGTGTAACCAATTCTAACCCCAAATCCATCCCAATTGAGTTGCGTCTTATATCTAACAAGGGAGAGCTGGACACACCACCAGCTGGTTGTTAAGTGAAAGAAAAACAGTTTTGAGGTCTTCAATCAAATCGCCCAAGTGCTTTGTGTCTTTTATGTATGGGCACAAACATCATTGAATGTTTAACTTGAATGACTAAGCGTTTATTGCAGTAACTGAAACATGAGACTATTTTCTGACAACCTACACCGTTCCACCATGTACAGTGTCATTTGATGCTGTGTAGTCCTCCATGAGCCTCCACTACTATATAAGGGGAATTTAACACTTATAAAAACCTTTGCTGTAAGCGTTCATTTTTTTTGTAATCCCAAATCTTTTGTTATATAACTGATCAAATCATCTTCCATGGCAGTCTAGGGGCGGTCGGGTAGCCTAGTGGTTAAAGCATTCGCTCGTCACGTCAAAGGTCTGGGTTCGATCCATGGGTACTGTGAGAAGCCCATTTCCCCCACTGTGATATTGCTGGAATATTGCTAAAAGCAGCGTAAAACTATACTCACTCACTCCATGGCAAGCATAATTTTTGTGAAGCCATTTGAAATTAATAACAGTGATCTGATTTGATAATGTGTTTTCATCACAAGGGGAGCAACTCTTGCTCCACAAAGGGTGGTCTACCAACATGCCATGAAAGGTCAGCTTAAAAGGGCAGGGATACTCTTGCCATGGGAAGGTGCTGCAGAACACTAAGATAATGATCACATGTGACTTTTATATGGATTTGTATTAACTCCCATTAGGACAACAAATTTGTGTGTAAAGCATGTTACATAAAAGTACCTCTTTTTCCGAGATGAAGTGACTCGCCCCCTTCTCCAGTCGACGGGGCACATGAAGACCTCGACCTCGCTTCTGAAATACACAAAACACAAATTACATGATATGAAATTCAACAGTTGTTTGTATTCAACATTAGCATTGTTTCTTGGGCTAGCAGAAGCACATGGTTTAAAAGTGACAGGCCTGTCTGGTACATGATCTTTAAGCACCAAGGTAAAACACCCAATGGTAATCATGCCCTGCTCTATGGGTGATGCTTGACACTCACAATTTGCATAAAATATAAGTGTTTTCTTGTTGTTTGAGTCTTGACACTGCAAAACATCATTCTCTGTGGTTGCCTGATGCTGCACAAATATCTATCTTTTCTTCATTTGTGAAATATCTGAAGTTATCAAAAACACAAGCAATAAACTCAAATTGGTGGAAATATGTCCAATGCTCAGTATGATCAAAACGAGACTGCCTAGTATGATCAAAACAATACTGCCCAATATGATCAAAACAAGACTTCTCAGCATGATCAAAACGAGACTGCTCAATATGATCAAAACAAGACTGCCTAGTATGATGAAAACAAAACTGCTCAATAAGATCAAGAGAAGCTTTTTCTTCACACGGAACTCTTAATTAACTGTGAACTTGATCATTATCAACAAAATAAACAGAAGATCCAATGTTATTTACTGCAGCGAACAGCCTCAAGCCAGTCACACGTCCAGTTGAAATGAAACAAGTCAGTATCCAGCTCAATAACTACTGGTCAGGTCCGTCCATAATTAAATGGATCGTCACTCGGTCCTTATCCCCTCATCTGTAATCTGTAGCAATGAAGTGATGAACCATCATTGATTGGTAAATAGCCCCTCATTCGTATTATAGTTATAGAGGCCATCATGGGAAAACACGATGCTCAAGGTAAATATTAATTACTGAATACCAATATGTGTTATTATTTAGTGATGGCGTAGGCCTCAGGAGACTTCGCATCTCATCATCATCCATCTCGGGTTATTTAGTTCCCACAATGCACCAGGTGAACATCACTTGAAAGTATCAAGTCAATACATACCATACATATACACTAGAAGCTTCTATCGGTCAGTACACATACGTATACAGAGTGTGCTTGGACGACACAAAATCAATGTCAAGTGACTAAGATGGCGTAATATAGAAATCTGAGCATGTATCTGTGTACACAAACTCACAAGGATTCACTGATAATCTACATTCAGACTGCTGCTATAATACATATATACCACTCAAAATATGTAAAGAACACCCAATTCTTTCACTGTTAATCTGTTGTGCCAAATAGTTCAAACTTCAATTCAATCTTAATAATCCGTCATGTCACTTTGGAGTGAGTACAGTTTTATGGCATTGTAGCAAAATAACCCAGCAATATCTTGGCAGGGGACATCAGAAAAGGGGTTCACACATTGCACCCACGTGGGAAATCAAACCTGGCTCTTTGGCCTGCTGAGCGAATGCTTTAACCACTGGGCTATCCCATCACCTCCTGAATCAAACTCAGTCATTTATGCACTATTCTATTTTGGTTCTTTTTACAGCCAGTTGTTCTTCCTATACACAGATTACCCCAAAAATGATGATTATAATGGAAGATCAAACTATTTTCTCATTGTAATAGGAAACCAATCTATCAGAAGGTATTTTCTTTCTATCATGGTTATAAGACATTAATTGAATATAGGACACAAGGATCATTAAGTGATTGAATAATTCATACAGTTCATAAAACCTTCATACTTATATCTAAATATACATTACATTATCATTTCAGTTAACATGTTTATATGAATATGTTTATAAAACATCGTTCTGAGAAAATATACTGACAAAAATCTTTTTAATATCACAGTGTCGTATAGGAGGAGCAAAATATTGCAAACATATGTCTTTTTCTTTCATGAATATTTACAGTAGTCACTGAAGCATGACAAACACCTACATATACCAGTATACTGAAACAGCTAAGTCAGCAGGGAGAAGAGAAGCATGGTTGCATCAGCGTTATATTTAGCCACAGGCTGGTTCCATTTACCACACAGAGCGAAACTTGTCTCAACACAGAGCAAGGTGAAATGACTTGAGGCAAGGTCACTAGCACAGAGTTGATCATTTCAGATCTGGAAAACAGTTTGTATTTATGTTCATGAGTAAAAAAAATTTAACTTGATTCCTTGGATTCATAAAAAAAATTTAAAAATTGAAACAAATTATCTAAAAAGCATATTCGTTTCCTTTTCCTAAGGCAAACTTGTTCAACAGAAATATATATCACATAATTCAAATGGGCATTTTTCAAACACACACCAGTTCCATGTATTTTCAGAAATTGAACAATAGTGAATAGACTTGGTTCAAAGTTTGTTGTAACAGTTACACAGCAATTATATACCCCATGCTATTTCCTGTTATTATCTGTAACATACACAAGAAAATATGGAATACTGTGCAATTTCTAATGATCACCTGGTGATTTTCAACGATCAATTTGTCAGTTATTTTTTTTTCCACTCAAGGGAGTCTGTTTCAGGAGATAACTGGGACTGGTTATTCTCTGGTCTTACGATCCCCGACCGCGTGGTACCAAAAGACGTTAAAATATGGTACTTGTTGGTCCCTGCCTGGCGCTCGGCATTAATGGGTGGGTATTGAGTAATTACAAAAATTCTAGCATACTTGTACACAATAGACTTAATATTATAGGAATTGAGTTCTCACATAAATACTTGCGTAATTTACGCAGATACGCAGCTTATTTGCACTTTTGTACAAAAAGCCCTTCATCCTTCTCAAATGTTGAGTAGCATAGCAGCTAAAGTGGTCATGAAGGTATTTTTTATTACATCCTATTTAATGACCGCAGTTGTCAACATTTCTGGTGTCATATTTTGACAAGTGTGTCTTTCAGACCCAAGAGAAAAAAAAAAATTCAACTAAAACCTAGAATAATATTGTGATACTGTAACTAAGCATGGCTTCATTCAGATTTTATTTCAATCATTATGCAGATGTGTAATGACAAATGTTTGTGTAGTTTCCTACCAGTGATCCTGTCTGTGAGCATTAGATCTGAACAACAGGTAACAGAAAATGGCCCAGGACCATCAAAGGATGCTCATCAAGACATGTTCTGTGTGAATTTGGCTACTTCAGTGAGCCCCCAAATCCAGGGTAATAATGAACTATCTACGCTATGTGGATTTAGCGCAATATAAATGGACTAATTATTATTATTATTGAATAACGAATGAATATGTTATCTGCTTCCATGTCAATATAGTTATGTGTTATAGTTATAGAAGCAGTATTTGGGGTTTTCTGTGTCCATTTTCGACATTTTTGCATACTGGATGTACATTTGTATGTCATGTAAAACCCTGAAGAACAATACTTACTCTCAGTCCATGTCATAAATAATAGCTAAACAAAGTTCTCCAATATTGAAGCTAACCTCTAGAAAAGTTTGAGCCGTTAGGGACAACAGGATATAACAATCATACATGCTTTAACATCCCTGATGGCAATCCGGAATAAAATGCGTACCTCAAGACACTATTTGATCATATTCTACACGTCCTCCAACACATATACCATATAATATGCTCCTAATCCACATCTGGAGGCAAGAGTTCGATCTGTCAGAAGCTCGTCTATCAATCCTATCATATTCAAATCTTTGTATTACGCAATGTCTACGCCAACATAAGAAATGAAATGTTCAATATTTGAGTTATTCTTGGAAAAATAATGACTTGGACATGGCATCCACTATAGACAGAGTCTATTTTTCCCCTAAGCATAAGAACTTGTGCCGTATTTTCTCAGTTAAAAACCTCATGTGTATTTCTTTCCAATACTCTTCACCCTCAGCAATTTAAAGGCCCAAAATCTATTCCAGCACTTTCTCATTTTGATTCCCGACTAATGTTTGTTTATTTATTTGTTGTTTTGTTGGTGTGCGGTCCTGTGCATAGAGCTCAGGTCACAAATCAGGTGAAGTTAAGCAACGTTGGGTGCGGAGAGTCCTTGGATGGGTGACTGTGTTTGGCAGCTTGACTCCTGAGAGTTTCTAGGACTTCAGTCCTGCCCCAAACGAAGCACATGTCATATGTGGTCTCACCTCAGGTAAGGGAGTTTGTTGAAAATTGCCCCAGCAGAAAATGGGTACCCGGTGAGAAAAGTCATGTGACTATTAACCTTGTAGCTCCTAACAGGCAGGGCAAGCATACCTAGTGTGGAGTTTGGCGCTATGTAAATGAACACCTTACATTCAGCAATATTGCAGGTATACAGCGACTATCTGTAAATAATCAAATCTGGACCAGAGAAGCAAGTGATCAACAGCATAAGCATCAATCTATGCAAATGGGATACAAGAACCAACTTGTCAGTCATGTTCGGGTCTCACCTTGACCCCATTAATCACCTGTTACGACAAGCATAGGCTGCTGAAGACCAATTCTAACATGGATCTTATGGGTCTTCTGCCTAATGATACACCCAGAGTGAGTGAGTCGAGTTTAGTTTTACGCCGCACTCAGAAAATATTCCAGCTATATGGTGGTGGTCTGTAAATAATCGAGTCTGGACCAGACGATAAAGTGATCAACAGCATGAGCATCGATGTGCGCAATTGGGAACCGATGACATGTGTCAACCAAGTCAGCGAGCCTGACCACCCGATCCCGTTAGTCGCCTTTTATGACAAGCATAGTCGCCTTTTATGACAAGAATGGGTTACTGAAGACCTATTCTACCCCGGATCTTCATGGGTTTGATACACCCAGACCTACCACTGGTACCATAGTTTCAAAATACTCAAATATCATTTGAAAGAAAACTGCAAAGAGAACAACTGGGAAAATTACAAGCATAAACACAACCTGGGCCTTAATCAAGGGCTTATTTGTCACAAATACTGAATGTGTATTAAAAGGAGAGATTTATGGATATCGACTCCCTGTGATATGAGGTACACGATGTTTCACAGTAAATTCTTACGCCTTCCCCAGGTGGAACATACTGCAGAAGGTCAT